AAGCAACAATGAAGTTGAAGAGACAACATCCAATAAATACAAGCTACCATATGCTCTACCATTATCAATCATTTTTCCCGGTTCTAGTTCCCCAAACACACAATGAGTAGGGAAAATTCTGGTAGAGCAATTTAGGGAATTAATAAGACTACTGACTGGAAGTAAATTAGTAGAGAAATTTGAAACATGAATATGTGAAAGAGAAATAGAGGGAGAGCACTGTATAAAACCTTTTCCAGAGACACAAGATAAAGATCCATTAAAAACTCTTATTTTATCCTTACCAGAACAAGGAAAGTAAGAATAAAATGGATCAGAGGAACCTGTTATATGGTTAGTAGCTCCAGAATCAATTATCCAAGGAGAAAAAGAGACATTGAGTGCATATGCTGGACTACCAGGTGAGCAAAGTTGGAAGAAGCCGATGCAGAGGGAGAAACTATGCTGGCTGAAGTATCAAGTTTAGCCATCGGACACCTGAGAGTGTGCATCTCATCCTAGGATAGAGCAACCGTATCAATAGGAGGGCTCTCAGAATTCTCAGAAATTTGAGCCTGAGATCGCACCGTACCACCATGAAGAGCTCTATAGCCTCGAGTAGAACGACCATGTGACTTCTAGCAATCCTCTAGTATGACACTCTTTCTCACAGTAATCACATTTTAATAGATCACAGTCACCAATACCAGTCTTCCCACTATTCTTGGGTTAACTGGCCTTACCATCCCGTGAAGTAGGAGTAGCAAGTAAAGTAGAACGATCTTGACTAGGAGTGTATACCATAGCACTACATTGGTTTTTTTCTCTTGCTGAACACAGGCATAGGCCTCTCTTAAGGTGGGGAAGGGAGATTGATTTAAGACTTAAACTCGAATCTGATCATACTCCATTTTAAGGCCAACAAGGAAATCATATACTTGCTCTTTCTCCATCATCTGCTAAAAGGTAGCTACATCTGCAGTACAAACAACCTGAAAACTCTGATAATAGTCAAATTCTTGCCACAAACTACTCAATTCTGCATAATACTCAGTAAGAGATTTATCTTTCTAATCTAACACACGAATATTCTTCCTTAGTTCATTGGCTTGTGCATCATTACCCTTCTGTGAGTATGTCTGTGCACTGTAGACCAAATCTTCTATGCCGTGTCCATCAATACGAAGGTGCGACTAATTGATGGTTGCATTGAGTTAATCAACTAAGTTATGACAAAAGCATTCTCTGATCGCCATTACTGCTGTGCTGGTCCACCTGTCATAGGATCCTTGAGAGTTCATATGGTATAACCTGTTAGGCCCACAGTAATAGCCAAACTACAAGATCGTGACTAGATCAGATAGTTGGTGCCATCCAACTTAACCGGACTAATTTGAACGGATGGGCTATCTACAAAAGTCCCAACATGACTCAACCCATTCGCTTCACTGCCTCCGAAAGTCTTACTATTGTCTCCCATGTCCACCAAATAAGAAGAGCACCCCAAAATATCAAAATTGGTTCAATAACCCACAAATTCCAAGGAATCCGTACAAAGACCAAGTTACTCGTGCAATAAAACTGAAAGAGGGGACCAAATCAGATCAGAAAAAGGGATAAAATGGCTAAAAAGTTGATGTTTTAGCAAAAAAACACAATAAAACCCTAAATTATATCTCATTATTCAAAGTATAACCATAATTGGTACTTTATTTCTCTAATTATAACCATAATCGGCATTTTATTTCTTTCTTTTGATGAACTTTAAGCATATTTTCATTTGTTGCGAATCTTGTGATTCAAATTTTTTTTTTTGTAATAGAAATATGCAACCTCCACTCCTTTTGAAACTCTTATCATAAACATAAAATAAAATATTAATTAATGCAATGTGTATGGATGTTTGTTTATATATAATTTCAAACAATGGTAAAACTATTGGAATAAGAGCTCGGAAGTGAATTTCGACCCAAAATAATGTACCAATTACGTCCACTCCCATGGCACCGTGTAGCTAGCATAAAAAGTATCATACCGCGTACCTTTAACTGTATCACGTATTTGGACTATTGGGAACTAATATCTATGGAAAAGAAATTTTTGTATTAATTGCATATGAAAATCATGTATTGGGCTAATTTAATAAACCCATGGTCATAAAACTATAAGTATCCTTGGCGGCGATAGGTATCCTGGCGTGCCCCTCTTATACTGTTTAGAGAAATGCCGTTTCCGCGTCGTGTTGTATCCCCCTGTCCATGTCTGTTCAGTGTCCATGCTTCTTAGCTAGAAACTGCAGGAGAACAATGGTGATATCTGAATACAAAATGGAACAACAGATCGCAATTTGGCTCTGATACAATGAAAGCTTAGGTCAAATGAGGTAAAAAATAAAATGACATGAGTAGAAGAGAAGGAGAGAAGAAAATTGTCTTCTACACTCTAATAATCCATGAAGTGAAAAATAAGTGCAAGAGAGAATATAAAACTTAACAGATACAACTTAACACTATTGCTCTGCCAAAATCACTTGTGCATTTATGAGGACAACACATTATTTTGTCAACTCTTCCATTTTTTCTATCTCTATCTCTTTATTTTATTAAATCTTCTTCTTCTTTACAGAGAGCTCAAGACTTGGCAAATGTTACTTCTTATCGGGAATGGGTACTATTTGGCTATCTTGTATGCCCTGACGAGCTTCTTAGAGTCACCAGCATCGACATTGCTTTGGTACTTTCCAGCTTTACTTTACTATGTTCTGAAAATTATTTTTGTATTTATTGCTTAGTGAATATCTAGCCTACAGAAAAAGAAGAGGATTACTGATCAAAACCCACCCCCGTGTGTGGGCGGCAGGAGATGATGAGCAACTGAAAATTTTGATCTTAGAAGACTTCTCGTTACATTTACACACAGGATAGATTAGGAATACAAGGACAACTGAATGTCTTGAAATTGATAGGTATTGAAGACATTTTGGTTTTCCTTGCATAGGATGTAAGACAATGGTGGTGGCGTCAGACATGGAGACAACATGTCCAACATGGCAAAGAGAACTGCCAAAAATGGAGAGTGGGTGTTCAATAGCCATTGATGAATCCTTAGTTCTCATTGAATCTTTTTATTGTCCTCTTTTTTCCCTCCTCCACAATTTACCTTTATGGAATATGAATGAGAACTTTATTTTTCATTTCGAAACTGAAAAAGAATGGGTGAAACGAGGAATAGAAAAGTGACTAGTTCACCCTTGAATGGGGAGATAGTCCATATATAGCAATAATTGAGAAATTAAAAAAACGTTAATGGCTCTGACAATCCCTCTCAAGCGGGAGCCTAGACATCAATGATGCTTTGTTTGGTACAAACATCTGAAAATTATCCCTTGCTCAAGGCCCTTGTTAGGATGTCTTCTAACTGAACACTTGGCCTAATAAAGGATGTAACAATTTACTTTCGTATCACCATATATAATGAAATAAAAATCAACTTCAATATGTTTGATTTCTAATAAAATACAAGATTGCCGGCAATATACATAGTAGATCAAAGAACATTCTCATAATCTTGCAACTAGATACCCCTATCTATTTTGACAAAAATTAAACCCATAACACCTCAAAAGCTATTTGAGGCACAACTATGTACTTTTTTTTTTGATAAGATGAATATTATTATAGAAGGAAAGAAAAAACAAAATACAATGTTGAGGACAATATCTTCAAAAAAAAAAAAAAGAAAAAAAAACAAAAGAAAAAATATATTTCAAAAGAGAAGATGTACCATACTTTGTTTTACTTTTCCACGTAGCAAGGTTGCCACCAACACACGTGCAAAACCTGGGCACAAACCTTTGGTCTAAATGATCACTTGCCTAATCAACATCACATAAACCAACTGCTTCCACATTGTGACAAGTGTTAGGGGGCAAAACCCTTTTGTAGGAGCACCCTTCAAATATCTTAAGATGTAGTACACTTCTTCCCAATGATGCTTCTTTTGACTCTTCATTAATGGACTAACTACTTCTATAACAAACCTAATGTTTGGATGTGTGACAGTCAAATAAATTATTTTACCCACTAGTCGGAGATATGTTCATCAATCAACAAAAAAATCTTCTTCATTTCCTATTAACTTGGTAGTTTGGATACACCAAGTATCAGCTGGTTTGGTACCCATCATGCCAGTTCCATCAAGAAGACTAAGGACATATTTACTACGTGCCTTTGATATTCCTTCCTTAGACCTAGCTACTTCCACACCTTGGAAGTAAGTTGTTTCTCCAATCTTTCATCAAAATGTATTACCTTCAACATCATCATTCTACATAGACCATGAGAACAATAGTACCCTTCTCACTATGCTTGACCAAAACATAATGATCAGACATTATTCTTTTCAACTGATGGGTAGCAACTACAAATTTATCACACCTAATGCTAGGAGACTATTTAAGCACACAAATTACTTTCTTCAACCCACACATCGTCCATGACACACTTGAGCAACATATCCCAAAGGTTGCTCCATTTACATTTCTTCCTAATGATTACCATAAAGCAAATCATAAAGAGTGAAGTGTCCAACTCTTAGCGACAAAAACAATAAAAGACTCAAACAGAGTTGAGATGAGCTATTGGAGAGAAGGTTCGAAGTAATCAACAACAAATGCGTAATTATGACTATTAGGCACCTATCGAGCTCTGAGCCTCTCAGCAAACAATTTAGATTATACTTAACCCCCTATATCCATAGACATTTCACTACATGGTGCTCTAGAGGAAAATAAGTTAACTCCATATGCCATTTTTTCAAAGTCAAATGCCTTCTCATCCATACCACTTTTCCAACCAGGAGAAGTTAATGAATATGTATAAAACGAGAAAAAAAACATAGGAAAATTAATAGTAAAGTGATGTTGCGGGGGATAGATGAAAAAAAAAGAAACAATATGACAATAGAATGTTGTGTGCAAGAATTACTTACTTTGTCGAGGGTAATGGGAAGATCCAACAAAGATGGACCAGGTACGTCAGTTGAAGTGTATAAAGAGGGAGGTTTTGCAAGCGGCTCTCCATTTTGTACCCAATGTGGTCATCGATGATGCACTTGGAAGTGTTTGTCTCACGGGAGGAGAATGGACAGAGACAATAATCGGAGGAACTGACAAAGGGATAAAAGAAGACCGATGGATAACAAGGTCTAAGGAAGCACTTGTAACTGAGAATAATGATGTAACTTAAAAGAAGGTAACATCAACACTAACAACATAATAGTGAGAATGACGATTTCAACATTTTTCTTCTTTTTGAGTCCTAGAATAACAGGGAAAAGCACATTTAATAGTTGTACCTTTCCCCAAAATTCTGTGGGATCATGTATTTGAATTATAAGGGTTTTGGCAATCTCAAAACAATATTTCACATTTTTTCACATTTCACATTTCTATTATGTTTTTTTGGAAAGCACAACTCTATTATGTTGAGGAGTATAGCCTCTAGAACTTTGGGGTGTAATGCATTGAGAATCAACATAAGACCGAATAGGTACTTGAACATATTCCAAGGCATTATCAGATTGTAAAAGTGAGTATTACTACCAAACATAGGTTTATGAAATAATTCAAATATAGAAGCATTTTTTGAATGTTTTTTCATTACAAATTGCCATGTCATTCTTGATTAATAATTCAACAAAAGATAAATTACGAGAAACATAATAAACTCTTCTGTCGAGATGCACATCAACTGTTAGTAGGAACTCACTCAAAAGGAGTGAAACAACGATTTTTTTTGCCTCACCTAACTGACAGGCCTCGCATTCCAAACTTGACAAAGAATGAAATGATAGAAGCAAAAGCCTCAAAGACTCAACTATGGGATGACCAAGCCCGCTACACCATTGATGGGGTGAAAACCCATGCATGGGAAGATGTAAGAAAGGTAGTAAACATCATCCTTCCCATGACCTCTGGGATACGAGGACACGCCGACACGAAATTTTTCAATAAAGTAGGACACGGACACATTGACTATATGTTAAATAATATGTATATATATATATAATCATGTGATAAAATAAAATAGTTACTAATTTTCATCAATTTTCAAAAGCCCCAATTTTGTAACCCCATTTTTTTTACGTTAATTTCACATTAGAAGTTTATTCCATTTATATATAACTTTGTATTTGTATCCAAAATGTAATGATTGTAACTTCTTTTATATTATGATTGTCACTTATATCCCATTACGATTATAAAATAATTCTTAATTATAAAATTATTTGAAAAATTCTCAAAAAAATTAAAAATAAATCTCAAAACGTGTCCGGAACGTGTCAACTGCATGTCTTGAAAAAAAATTTGACACTCATTTTAACGTGTTCAAGCGTGTATGTGTCCGACACCGACACCTTGCCCAAAATTAAGTGTCAGTGCTTCCTAGAAGAATTTAGGCACACAAGGTACTCAAAATAGACTAAGAGATGGAGTGGGATGAGTTATGCCACTATCATTAGCTAAAATAATATATGCTTTAGTAGTCCCATAGTTTGAATTAGTAAATAAGTAGTCCTACAATTTGTGCGCAGAAGCTCCATATTTTATTATTATCCATGGGGTAAATGGAGAAGGTGAGAAACATGCTATGACACTTTGATGAGCAAATGTTGTGGGTGTTGTGGGCCCATAACCCATAGCTCCTGGGATCATATGCTGGCTCTAATACCTTGTTGAAAAGAGTAAAAGAAACATGACTAGGTAAACCTTGAATAGACAGAGCAGTTTGAGATGTTTAGAACTTAGAACTTACAAAAACAACACACTAACAGAGCTAACAAGAACCAAAAGACTCTCAGTTTGTCATAGACTTGGAAACTGAGCCCAAAATCACATATATGTGTATTTTTTTCCCATCTCCCTATGAAACAAAAAAGTAAAAATGGAAAGAAAAATACAATATCTTGTAACTGATATTTTGATTTCATATTTTTTTTAAGTTTTCTTTCTAGGTTTCTTCAGTCGCATTGGCATGCATTGCATTTTTATCCTTATGAACAACCCTAGGAAGCACAAACACTTCATTCTAGGCAGAGTGTCAGTGTCAGACACTTCTGGGACACAGACACAGACACAGACACAGACACGGACACGGACACGTGTTGGACACATTAAAATGAGTGTCTGATTTTTTTAATGTTAATTTTTTTCAGGGCATGTTTTGGACACGCAGTCAACATGTTTTGAGATTTCTTTTTAATTTTTTGAGAACATTTTAGATAATTTTATAATTAAGAGTTATTTTATAATTTAAAGGGATATGAGTTATAATCATAATATATAAGAAATTATAATCATTACATTGAACGTTGGATGTGAATGTAACATAATTTTGGATATGAATACAAACTTATATACAAATGTAATAGACTTTTAATATGAAAGTAATGTGAGCAAAAATGAGATTACAAAATTGGGGTTTTTGGTAATTGATGAAAATTAGTGTTACAAAGTGGAACATTTTTGAAAATAAAAGTTGTAGTAGTCATTGATTGTTGAATCACGAATGTTAATTTTGAATGTGTATCGGTAATGGTACATCTTATATTGTACTTTTTATGCAGTGATATATGATATGAATTTTTAGGGAAATGATGAATTAAAAGATTATTATGATAATATTTTTATTTTATCACATGATTATATACACAAACACACACACACACACATATATATTTATATATAAATAAATATTATTTAATTTATCACCAACGTGTCCGTGTCCTATGTTTTTAAAAATTTCATGTCAGCCTGTTCGTGTCGTGTCGTATCCATGTTCCATATTCGTGGTCGTGCTTCAACAACCAAATTGATTGAATTTCCCTCTTAATTCTTTAGACACTTATATTTTTGCATAAGTCACCTTCATCCCCCATCTCCATGCTTGCCAATTCTAAGTGCTATTATCATTGATACACGTGTTGTTATTTTGATTTTTTTTACGTCTTGGTGAATGTGTGTCTACTATCAGCCTTACTTGTGCATGCATTTTTTGACCGGGGAATATTCTTGCTAATCTTTCCTATTGGATAGTACGTCAAAAAGGAGGAAAAAAATTATTTTCATTACTGTTGCTTCCTTTTCTTTTTTCCTGACACATTGTTTCTGGTGCACTTTTCAGGTTGTACTGAGGGAAAATTTAGTTCTTGCGTTGTTTAGGGATGAGGTAAGTTCTATAGGTCTTTCTTTGGTAGAGAATTCTAGAGGTCTGTTAGTATAAATATTTTTTGAACCAAAATATTTGATCATTTTTGTATGTTATAAGCGCAGTATATACTTTTGCATGAGGAATATCAATTATATGTTTTGCCCCGGGTCTTGGAATCAAAGAAGATGGCAAAATCTGGACGTACAAAACAGAAAGAAGCAGACCTGGAGTATAGTATTGCAAAGCAGGTTGAGAAAATTATAAGGTATTGACTCGAATTGGCTTTAAGTGTGAAACTTGCATTGCTTCGCAAGAGATATAATGAACAGGCAGGACACAAATCAGTGGTGAGGGTATGTAATAGCTCTGTGCATATGTAATCAAACATTTGATTACATCAGATTTTTTAGGGTGTTAATGTGTAAATTTTTGCTATACTTGATTTGATAAAAGCTCTAGCAGTGCCTAATTTATTGTTTGCGGGGTGGTATAATTGTGAAAAGTTATTTCAAACTCATGAAGAATAGCATCACTTTTGTAGACCTAGTATTTCAGGAAATATATAATTGGCTTAATGTTTTGGTATGCTATATGAATCATTGTTTCAAGGTACCATTGGGATGTTTACATGACTTCTAACTTAGGAAGCATGGATACGGGCACGATACAATATGAACAACTATATGGAATGATATGTCAGTAAAAACGTATTTTCTGTATTATATGCAGTAGGAATTCAATATTATAAAAGGTATTGTGGATGATTTATGGATATATAGTCAAGAATAATTAATATTCATGCAAGCAAACCTATTTATAGTGTAATAGATACTGTAACATCCATTTAAATAACCCATAAATCCTAATTGAACAAACACGAGTACCCATTTTTTTTAGTTAACTAAATGGACAACTTCTCTAAAATGTCAAAATATATAACAAATTATTGCTACATATTTAAGCTGGTGTCATTTTTTCACTTCCTAGATTGGTCAAATGTTAAATTTAAGAGTAATGATATGTAATTATTGTAGGGCTTATGCCAATCAGTCAATTACTTAATAGACCATCTATTTTGAGGGCAACATTAATTTTTTTGCACAAGAACCCTCATATTTTTCTTTTAAATTACTTATTTTGACATTGCGCAAAAGCGATTATTAAATTTATAAAAAACTCCAATTTTTGGCCAACCTTATCCACACATATCTAGATTGGCCGCTAATCCTTGGCATACCTGACATGTATTTTCCGTATATACTCAACATATCCTAAATGTATCCAAAAATAAAAGTATGGTTAAAATATTCAAGACATATCTGTCCATATCCATATGCGATATGTATCAGATATGGCTGCTACATCCATGTTGGGGTATCCGTTCCGTGATTCACAGCTTCTGACATTTTTCGATTAAAGCTGGAGAGTAGGATTTTTAACTTGGTCGTTCGAGTGAAGCGAGTAAATTAATTATAAATATGGAATAAAGTTCTAGATTCGAGACAAGAGTGTTTAAGGTAAGTAGGACCAAAAATGATTGTATGGAGTTTAATTTTAGTATGTGTGGAAGTGTCAGTTTAAGGGGGAATGAACATTGAATGGCAAGATATTGACAAAGATAAAATGTTGTTGTATAGGCTCTGTTACCATGCTGGGAAGACATTAGAGATGATGTTCCTTAAAAAATGTAAAAGTGTGTCCCAGTCCAAGATTTTGCTTGATCAATGTACACCTATGAAGGAAAGAAAAATCTTACAAAATTTCTATAAGACTAGCCAAACACTTTTAGCCGACATGTTAGACAAGAGAAAAACTGGATATTCAAAACATTTATGTAGTTGGGACATAAATTCTTACTTATTAGATGGCGTTGTAAGTGAAAAGGTCAATTTAGATGTTCATACATTTTGAAATGGTAGAAGTTAGGGTTGTCCAAACCAAACCAATCACTTTGGCTTGGTTTGTTTTGGTTTTCTTGAGACATAGTTCGTCTATGTTTACAGCTATGGAGAACTGATTACTTCCAGTGGAGCTCCAGTTTTAGGCCCGGGATAAACTGAACTTATTGGAGAATGAATCTGATTACACAAATATAGATTTACATAGATATATACCAATTACTACAGTCGTTGCACCTCGTTTTATGTGGTATAACTATGAGGAGCTGTTTTCAGAATTAGGAGATGTGGGGCTAACTAAGAGCATGTGCTTGCCCTGGTTCTGTTGTTTAGTCCCACATCACCTAAAAGCACCAACCACGTCCTCTCAGCTTAATATTAAAGGAGATCAACTCTTTCATTGTTTCACCTTATGAAATGATTAGTAAGGCCCCTGACCCTCAGGCTGTTCAATGGGCGTTGTTAAGAGTTTTGTCTTTAAGGAAATGAAAGGTCCAATATAGTTGCTGAGAAATTTTTTGGCCGTCCCTGTTGTTGATTTTTTTTGTTTTTGTTTTTGTTTTTGTGTCCTTGAATGGTGCTCTTGTCCTTGGGAAAGCTTTCCAACAGTAACAACACATTATAAGGCTTGAGTTGGAGATTGTTTCGCATATTCAAAGAATGAAACTAATACCATATAGGTCAGTTATAATTGCATTGCAACATTACTAACATTTCAGGATTGAGATTGTGGTGACCTAGATCCAAGTGCTAAGACTCGTGAGCCTTCGGGCCAAACTGGACGAGGTAAGCTATAGGTACCAAGTTCATGTAATTTGTCCCACATTATCTGGTGAGAAAAAGTCATTGCGCTATGCATGTGGACCCCTAGCCTTAATACATGATGACACTTTTTTAAAGCTGAGCGTGTAAATCAAAGCAGTCATGTGTGACTAAAGTGGGCATGTGACAAAATGGTATTAGAGGTGGATCTATATGACCGTGGTAGGGAATTTGGGCCATGATGGACGAGATGAGGTGCATGTGGGAAGTTCAGGTACTATGTCCCATATTGCTCTATGAAAAAGTGACCGCACTATATATGCTGCCTCGTAACTTTAAACACTCAACAACACTTATTGTGAGAGGGTAACCCAAAGTGGATAATATCATGTGCGGCTTATGTGGAGTTAGACAAAAATACTCTAGTCGTTAGTCATTAGAGGGAACTCGAGCATGGAGTAAATTTCTCACTAATCTATCTGTTCATTAGATGATAGGTTGGTGTGAGTTGACTTTCTTCTTGCCTTCTAGTGCTTGGGGTAAGGCTTCACGTATGACAAACTCCTTTCCTAGTTCCCATTGTATTGTATTATTGATCTAAGATGCAATTAGGGCCATATGATGTCTTTACAAAGAAACTAAATTTGGCTTCAAAACAGCCGAAATGTTTACATTTCCGTGGAAACCTAAGTGAGTGATTGAATATTGAAATTTTTATATTTTGAGTGTTCCAGTATGTTTCAACCAATGTTTTCACAAATAAATATCTAATTTTTTTTTCTTTGTTTCCATTATTTTTTTAAAATTGTTTTTGAAACATTTCTGTTTTCAAGCTGATCGAAACTATACACCAAAATGATATTTTGATCATTTGTCTTTATGTGTAAACAAGTAAAAATAAAAGAGAAGAAAATAAAAAAATGTGCTGTCTTTCAAACAAACAGCTAAAGAGCCATTCTCTTGATATAGGCATCCAATATAACACTAGCCCCTCCACCATATGAATCAACATTGAGTGACTCTGATATTGCAGTTGTGGATACAAGTTCTCTTTACACTTTCCTTCATTTGGGACCTGGGCTCACACATGGTCTAACCAACAATCAAACAAACATGCATTCTGAGAAATTAAAGTGGGCAAGAGACTTGATCTACTAACCACTCTAAGACATAACTCTAATAGCACGATAGAGCATCCACCCATAACCAATTAGCTACCGGTGGAGAGTCCTTCAACCTTGTAAACTAACATTGGGTGACTTTAATCATTCAATTTAGGGTCTAAGCTGTATTCACATGTCTAAGATAAATTGGATGAAGACATTCCTCATATCTATAATCCATCGGAGTTCATTTGCAATTAATTGAAGAAGCTATATTTTCTCTGAGTAAAAGTGGGTGATTTCCACTTTTACATCAACTCTTAAGCAATAGCAAGGCTTTTGACTTTGTTGTCAATAGTTGAAGAACTGACTTCTGTGTTGTCCTTCTATCTAGTCTTCCATCTTTTTAAATGATCTCAACCATATTCAATTACTAGTGCAAATGGTGGAAATTCCATAAACAATGAAACTTATGTTTGTTGGAGCATCATCAATAGGCTGTTAGAAAAGGATTGTTGTTTGATATCGTTTGGAGCTGCATATCCAGATTAGAATTGTGAGTTGTTGAAAGTGAAACTGGCGTGGATGATAGTTAAAACAGGTCAGTTTAAATGCCCGAATGGATGATATCACTGCTGGTGTTTTATGTGTCTAGAACTTACTGAATAGGTTGAGTACACGACATCCACTGTGATGGATAACTTGTTTTGACTATTATCTAATATTGCTAGTTTATTCATTCATTATTTCTGGTGGTGCACATACAAGAGTTTCCATATTATTTTCCTAAAATGTTATCTTTGACAGATTTAATTTACTTGAGGTCTATCTTCCTTGCACCCTCCATGTTTGTGATACCATTGCTGTTGAATTGATGTGGTTAAGTGGTCAATGACTGCAGTGAAGTGCACGAGCAAGCATTGTTATCGTGTGACTCTATACACCGTGAAAGGAGAATATTACTAAAGCAAGAAATTGGAAGAATGGTTCTCTTCTTTACTGACCAGCCGAGTTTATTGGCTCCTAATATCCAGGTACAATTGTATGTACAAGACTTCTTCAAAGTTACTGGATATGATTAAAAATTTTGAGGGCCTAAAATGGCAACTAATCTCGCCATTTTTGCGGCATATTAGTAAACTATATTCGCATTTGTGTGAATATTGATCAATTGGAATTACATTAGTTGATATGAGTTGGGGGCTTAAAGTGTTGAGTAATGTTATGTTAAAACCACATTCACTGATTGTTTATATATATTTCTTATCGAAGACACCATGCCAAAGGATACTGCTATTACAACACTGCCATATTTATGAATCCTCTTCGTTTTTTATGTTCCAGTACTGCTATGCTATCTCCTTATCAATACAGAAATTATATTATTGAATGCCTCCTTCCTTTTTCTCTTCTTTATTACTATGAATATTTATTGACTAAGAATTTTAGGTGCATTAATTCTCAATGACGAGGTTATGTCAAAGTACACACAATGTGTGGAAATGCTGAATCACTTGTATAATTTGGAAGAGACAGTCATTCATTTGTCAAAATTCAGTAATCATTTGATGGTTGCTGCAGATGGTGTTTTCTGCATTGGCTTTAGCTCAGAGCGAAGTTTTATGGTATTTCCAACATGTGGGAATTGCTTCATCAAAATCTAAAGCTACTCGAATAGTGCCTGTGGACATAGTAAGTCAAAACTTCCTTTTTCATAATCCTATATAAAGTTTTAAATGATAATGAAATACATTTTGGTGTATAGATTTCTGGATTGTTTAATTTGGACTCCTTTTATGTTGGTTGCAGGATCCAAGTGATCCAACTATTGGGTTCTTGTTGGATGGGATGGACCGTCTTTGCTGTCTAGTGCGCAAGTATATTGCAGGTTAGATTGAGTCAAAATAAAACAGTTTCTCACAGAACTAATAACATGTAATGTTTAGTTGGCGTAGAAAACATATTTATTTATTCTGTGAATTTTGTCTATAAAAACTAAATCTTCATGAGCAACATACATAATAAACAGATTTATGTGTTTCTTTTGGGTAAGTACCAGTAGATACTTTCTTGGATTTGGTGTTCTATTGATTCTTTGGTTAGTTCGTTGTCAAAATATTATGTTAGTAGATGCAACAGACAAATGACTTGTGACGCCTTAAAACCGGGGGTCCTTTTTCTTAACCCATTGATCACCCATTAACCTGTGGAAGTACCCGTGAATGCCACATAACCCGACACCACGTCATCATATTCACTTCATCGGGATTGTAACCCATGTAGAGTTTAGACAGAATCTCTCTTGTACCGGAGCACTCCCAAACGCATAACCTATGCACATATCAACTACTTGATCATTTCAAGGTCTATTCCCATCAACTAGAACTTAATGTTTGACCAATTATATCATTCCAACAAGAGGGCTCAAGATTTGAAAGTCTTACCGAGTTATATTTAAATTTTTAAAAATTTTGGAAGAGGTACCGGTACCTCTTACATGTGGTACCGATATTTGAGCCTTCTGTTTATCAGATCCGTTTCATTTGCTAGGTATCGGTACTTAATCACTTAGGTACCGGTACCTGATCTCATTGTTTGCTAGGTATATTTTGTGGTACTGGTACTTGAGCCCACTGTCTATCAAGGTACTGGTACCTTGAAAATTGGTACCGGTACCTGAGTCCACTGGAATTCAGGTATTGGTACCCGTTAGTCGAGGCACCAGTACTTGGGCCATCCAACAGCGTGGTACCGGTACATAATCACTTATGTACCAATACTTTAGCCTAGATTTTTCTTAAATCTTTCCAATTTTCGACCATTAACCATCCAATCTGTTCCCATACACATTCATACATTCATTAACACAAATTATAGTCCATAAAAGTTTATTACAAAACTGTTTACACAATTTTACAAGTTCAAAATAAATTAAATAATTAATTTACAAAATATAATTTAAAGTTATATTTCGGCTTCTTCTCAACAAGGGTCCATGTGAGGGCCCGTCTATCGGTGTTTACCCCGCATTTGAAATGTTATTCCCATAAAAGGGAGAACCACGTTCAATACGGTATTTCCTAAAGTGGCTACTCCTTAATTTAGACGCATATGAAATGTTTACATGCAATTCAACTATCAATCAAACATCCATTCAATAATATGCAACTCATAAATGGATTTTCACAATGTCATGTCATGTCATGAGATGATACTCATACATGCAATGCAATCCGAGCTCTCTACCGGCTCCCATAACATAAGCAATGCCATGTGTATGCATCCGGTCATTCCAAGCCCCCAATATTGATGTTGAATATCTAATGACTATTTTAAAAAATCCAATGACCATATTGAACATCCAATGACCATTAGTAGATTATTGACGGAAAGAAATTAGTAGAGAAATTTGGAACATGAAGAGAAGATGAAAAGGAAATAGAGGGAGAACACTATACAAAACCTTTTCTAGAAACAGAGGATGAAGAGTCGTTAGCAACGCTGGCTCTATCCTTACCATAACAAGGAAAGTAAGAATAAAACAATTCAGACGAACTTGACATATGACCAGTAGCTCCAGAATTAATTTTCCAAGGAGAACAAGTAGTAGAAGAGACATTGAGAACATATGTTGGACTACTGTGTGAGCAAAGTTAGAGGAAGGGAGAAGCTATGATGGATGAAATGTCAAGTCTAGCCATCAGACGCCTGAGAGTGTGCATCTCATCTTGGGAAAGGGCACTGGTATCAATAGAAATCCTTAAGGAAATCTCATAAATATGAGCCAGTGATCGCACATTACCACCACGGCCTCGGGTAGGACGACCATACAACTTCCAATAGTGCTCTCTAGTATGACATTCTTTCCCACAATAATCACATTTTAATAGATCACAATCACCAACACCACTCTTCCCGCTAGTCTTGGGCTGACTGAGCTTACCATTTTGTGGAGTAGAAGTAGCAAGTAAACTAGAACAATCCTAACTAGGAGTGTATACCATAGCACTATGTGTCTCTCAACACTATGTTTCTTGTCGATTTTTCTCTTGCTAAACACCGGCATATGCCTCTCTCAAGGTGGGGAAAAGAGATCGCCCTAAGACCTAAACTCGAATTTGATCACACTTAATGTTAAGGCCAACAAGAAAATCATATACCCACTCTTTCTCCATCATTTGTTGAAAGGCAGCTGCATTTGTAGTACAAACAGTCCATAATAGTCAAGTTCTTGTCATAAACTATTCAATTCAACGTAATAATCCGTAAGGGATTTATCTTTCTGAGCTAATCTACGAATCTTCTTTCTCAATTCATAAGCATGTGCATCATTATGCTTCTATGAGTATGCTTGTGCAGTTGCAGACCAAATCTTTTGTGCCATGTCCATCAATAAGAAGGTGCGACTAATAGATGGTTGCATTGAGCTAATAAGCCAAGGCATGACAAGAGCATTCTCCGATGGTCATTGTTCTTGTGCTGGTTCATCTGTCATAGGATGCTTGAGAGTTCCTATGATATAACCAGTTAGGCCACGTACAAAAATAGTCAAATTGCAAGATCTTGAACATATCAGATAGTTGGTGCCGTTCGACTTAACCAGACTAATCTTAAGGGATGGACTATCTCCAATAGTCACGACACGATTCAACCATTCACCTCACTATCTTTGGGAGTCTTACTATTGTCTCCCATATCTACCGAACAAGAAGAGTACCCCCAAATATCAAAACTGGTTCAATCACCCATAAAGCCCAAGGAATCCGTATAAAGAACAAGTTACCCACACAATAAAATTGAAAGAGGGGACCAAATTAGATACAAAAAAAAAAAGGAATAAAAGGGCCAAAAAGTTGTTTTAGGAAAAAAAAAAAAAAAAAACTCTTAGATTTGGCTAAAAATTCATCAAAATGGATCAAACAACAATTGGTCGAGGGCAAAAAGGTAATTTTAGATCGCAAGGGAACTATTCCAACTATAAGATTGCATCAAACACGTTAGAATCAAATATTTTGAAAAAAGAGGCAAACATTTCACAAACTAGAAAAAAAAATTGAAAAATACATCAAATGAATTCCAAAAAATTTGGAAATTTTTCTTGGAATAGTGGAACCCTAGTCGTTCATGTTGGTATTTTTTAAATTTTTTTTAGGGTTTAGCAAAAAGGGAAAAAAACTATGAGAGGAAAGGAGTAGACTTACATCCCTGAAAAACATGAAGAAGAAAAAAAATCAACTTGCGGACCGAACTCTGATACCAAGTTAAATTATGAACGAGTGGAGAAGAAAGTAGAGAGAACGAGAATACGTTTATGACAATAATGAGAGCTAACGAGAGAATTAGGTTTTCTCCCTTAGCCTCGTGTATTTATAATAATAAGACTGAAAGTACATAAATAACCCTCATAGACATCTCTTAACATTAAAAAAGAAAATTCCTTTTTGCAAATTAAAAGGTCCTGGTTGCATGAATTGGTTGTCTATTACGATTTTGTGATACATGATATATATTAACCTCGAATTTTGTGTGTATTTTGTTTATAAGAATGTGGATGTTGATGTTATGCTCAACCTAACTATGCTTTTCAATGGAAGAAAGCTGTAAATGCAGTCAGTATATTGTTTTAATCACCGAGGACTTTGATCAGGCACACCCTTGCTGTGATAGAATTGCCATTTCTTTTCCGATTTCATTAAGCATTGAAATTACCACCAATGCTTCCACAAGCTATAAATTTTATATGTCACAAACTTTGTTCAGTTCTTGGATTCTATAGCAAAAACTTGACTATATTTTACCATTTGAGTTGGTGAACTAATTATTAAAGAGCTTTCATGTTCCTTTGCAGCAATTAGAGGCTATGCATTATCATATCTTTCATCCTGTGCTGGGAGAATCCGATTTTTGCTGGGTACTCCAGGAATGGTGGCTCTTGATCTGGATGCAACCTTGAAAGGACTTTTTCATAAGATTATTCAACATCTTGAAAACATACCGAAACCACAGGGTGAAAATATTTCTGCCATTACATGTGATCTCTCGGTAAGAAATCTGTGCAGACCATGTTTCACTTATATCCCAAGGTTTCTTGTGATAATAATGATCTTCATGTGTTTATGGATTTTTCATTGACCTGCATTAATTCTGTGATTTGGGACTCTAACAACAGTATCTTTTTTATAACCTCCCTACAATAGAGTCTCCTTTTTTTTTTTTTTTATATTTTCTAAAACCCTGATGATATAGATCAAATTAGTTTTGATACCAATCGATGTAGATCAAAATAGCTCTAGTACCTATTGATGTAGAATGGAAGAAAGAATGAGAAGAATTATGAAGAAAAAGGGGAGAATTCTGAAGAATTAGAAGAGAATTACAAATTAAGGGGAACCAAAAATCCAATATTCAATTGATTAAGCCAATGCTACCGAAACAATTAAATCAATCCCTCTATGAGTGGGAATATCAAAATCCTAAATCAAAGAATTTTACTACCAAATGCGAAATAAATTCTATATTAGAAATAAAATCCAATTAATCCAAGAGAATAAAACGACATTACAATGAATTTCTAACTTCTATTCTTTTGATTCCAATCCCTTCCGATCCCCATTGTTTCTACCTTCTTGAAAAAACTTGAATCTGGTGAGATACGATTGTACTACAACTCTTGAAGATCATGATCATATAGTCCTCATCTATAATCCGAGGAGCATCAGTATCTAGACAACCATGGTGGAAATGATGAAGAACAGGAACTTGAGACGATGACAAAGAAACAACTCCACTTGGAGATACACCTGCTAACAAAACTGGCAGCTTAGGGCTGTTTCGATACAATTGCATGTCCTCCAGATATGAAAATGAATGAATCTCTAAATCTTATGGAATACTAAGCCATTATGCATCAAGTCCGAGAGCAAAAATAGCCGAATTTCCATTGGATTGCAACATGCAATATCTGGACAAACAAGAAACTAAAGGTGAAGGAGTGACAACAACATCGATGAAAGTGATCAAGTATATACTCAAAATTACCTTTTGCAATAGAAAAAGTAGGCAAACAAGTAGAGTTGAAGGGCCCACAACAGGAATGATCAATCTCAATTTGATCCTTGAAATGAGAGTGAATGTCTGTATGACCTACAGAGGATTGGAAAATCTCATTGTAAACAGTACAACCAAAGAGGAGAGAGAAGGGGGGGGGGAGACATAATTAAATAAGGGAAAATAACATCCATTTCATTAACCAAAGAGATATATATATATATATATAGTTACACATGAGAATAAAGCAATAACTCTATACAAAACAATTAGTAACCTCTTTCGAATGACGCTTTTCACAAATAAAGTGACAATCAATCTCAATATGATTTGTTTGTCCATGAAAGATTGGATTTGAAGTAATATAAACTGCAGTCTGATTATTACAAAATAATTGCATTGAGAAAGTTATTGAAATAACAATCTCATGTAATAAATTCTTTAGCCATATCAATTCACAAGTAGTTTGAGTCATAGCCCTGTATTCCACATTAGAACAAGATCGAACCACAATACTCTGTTTCTTACTTTTCTAAGTCACTAAATTGCCTCCAAGAAATGTGCAATATCTTGTCGTAGATCTTCTATCAAATGGGAAGCTAGCCCAATTTGCATCAGTAACACCAATTACCAGTAAATGTCTATGAGCTCTATATAATAATCCTTGACCAAGAGCCTTTTTCAAATATCTCAAGATTCTATTCACTGTTTCCCAATGAGGTCCTCTTGGAGATTTTATAAACTGATTTGCAACACTAACCACAAAGGAGATATTTGATCTTGTAATAGTCACGTAATTCAATTTTTCCTCTAGTTTTCTATACTTTTTTGGATGTTGAAATAGCTCCCCTTGTTCTGTGGTCAAGAGTATGATGTAGATTAGGAATGAAAGAATTAGGGATGAGAAGATAGGAAGAAAGAAATGAGAAAAGAAAAAGAATTTGAGAAGGAAACAATGTCAATGTTTAATAATAATCAAAGTCTGCCAAAAGCAAATACCATATCCTCTATATATATAAGGGGAGTACAAACCCTAAAGTAAAAAAATAGTCAAAATGACAACTAAGTTTCAAGAGGCAAAATGACCAATAACTCCTAATCCCTACGTGCGCTTATTATAACAAAATACAATTCGATTCTTATCATTTTCTCCCAAATGAAAAGAACTCACCTCCAAAAAGATACGATCATGATAATGCCCTAAAAGATCAAGATTAAGTTGAGGAAACTCCTCCTCAGTAATCTATAAAGCATCAGTCTCTGGACGGTCTCTCCACCGAACAAGATAACGAGGATACCCTTTATCTAAGGAGCTAACAATCTGATCCTCAAGTACATCTGCAATCTGGTCATGCAACTGTGCTGGAAACGGTTGAAAAACAGGGATTATAGGTTATGCTGATGACGAAGTGACTTCAGTTGTAGGAACACCTGCTGGTAACATGTGAGGCTCAAAAGTACCATGATAAGGAAACAAGTCCTCCACATTAAAAATAAGACTAATACTCATATTTGAAGGTAAGTCAAGTCATATTTGAAAGTAAGTCAAGGTGATATGCATTAGGTCCAAACTTACAAAAAATTTGAAAAGGGCCAGTGGCTCGAGCATGTAACCTTTTGAAAGAATATTTAGAGTAACGTTTAGGGCGCACACGAATCATGACATAACCTCTCACAATAAATTCTTTATTCTTACGGTGAACATCAGCAGCCAATTTATAGTTCTCATTACTTAATGTAATTTTCTATCTTATGTCGGCATGCAAGTTACGAATATACTGGGCAAAAGCTTCTGCGGAATTTGAAGGGTGGGAATTAGGAGGTAAAGTTAGTAAGTCAATAGGCTGTCTTGGGGAATGACCATAAACAATCTCAAAAGGAGATGTACCAGTCGACCTATTGACGGAGTTATCATAGGCAAATTCAATAGTAGCTAACAACAAATCTTTATTTTCCATCTTCTCACCCACTAGACACCTGAGCAATCTCCCAAGTTATGATTGACAACCTCAGTTTAACCATCAATTTGGGGATGAAAGGTAGAGGAAAACTTAAGACTAGTCCCAAAGAGCTTCCAAGGTGTCTTTCAAAAATAATTCACAAACGTAACATTCTTATCAGACACAATGGAAATAGGCAATCCATGTAGTCGGACGACCTCTCTAAAGAATAGCTTGGCTGCATGTGAGACATCAATAGATTTAGTGCAAAGAATGAAATGGACCATCTTAGAAAACTGATCCACGACAACTAGAATGGAATCATGACTACGAGCTGTATTAGACAATCCTAAGATAAAGTCCATACTAAGGTCTCTCCATGGTGTGTGTGGAATTGGTAATAGTGTGTACAACCAAATGTTTTCTTTCCTAGCCTTTGCTACCTGACAAGTGCGACACTGTGACACTATCCTAATAATGTCACGCTTCAATGTGGGCCAACAAAACCTATCCTCAACAAGTGCAAATGTCTTATCCCTACCAAAATGTCCTGTCAGACCTTCTGCACATAATTCTCAAATCAGGAAATTCCTAAGTGAAATATAGGGAATACGTAGTTGGGACCCTCTAAACAAGTAACCATCTCTAAGGAGGAAGTCAATATACTCATTATGGTTATCAGTCTGAACGTCCTGAAAAATGATACCAAAGTCAAGACAAGAGACATACTCATCTCTAATCTAGTCAAATCCGATCATATGGACACTTATAGTCTGTAAAACAGCAACTACAAGGCTAAGAGCATCCGCAGGCTTATTTTCTGTGCCCGTTTGGTGGTGAAGAACAAAAGTATACTCTTGAAGGAACTCAACTCACCTAACGTGCCTAACACTTAATTTTCTCTGGGAGTGAAGGTATTTTAATGCCTGATGATCAAAATACAACACAAGCTCATATGGAAATAGATAATGCCTCCAATGGCGGAGAGCTTGTGCAACAGAGTAGAACTCTTTATCGTATGTAGAGTATCGNCCGCCAAAAGCAAATACCATATCCTCTCTATATATAAGGGGAGTACAAAACCTAAAGTAAATAAATAGTCAAAATGACAATTAAGTTTTAAGAGGCAAAATGACCAATAACTCCTAATCCCTACGTGCGCTTATTATAACAAAATACAATTCGATTCCTATCATTTTCTCCCAAATGAAAAGAACTCACCTCCAGAAAGATACGATCATGATAATGCCCTAAAAGATCAAGATTAAGTTGAGGAAACTCCTCCTCAGTAATCTATAAAGCATCAGTCTCTGGACGGTCTCTCCACCGAACAAGATAACGAGGATACCCTTTATCTAAGGAGCTAACAATCTGATCCTCAAGTACATCTGCAATCTGGTCATGCAGCTGTGCTGGAAACGGTTGAAAAACAGGGATTATAGGTTATGCTGATGACGAAGTGACTTCACTTGTAGGAACACCTGCTGGTAACATGCGAGGCTCAAAAGTACCATGATAAGGAAACAAGTCCTCCACATTAAAAATAAGACTAATACTCATATTTGAAGGTAAGTCAAGTCATATTTGAAAGTAAGTCAAGGTGATATGCATTAGGTCCAAACTTACAAAAAATTTGAAAAGGGCCAGTGGCTCGAGCATGTAACCTTTTGAAAGAATATTTAGAGTAACGTTTAGGGCGCACACGAATCATGACATAACCTCTCACAATAAATTCTTTATTCTTACGGTGAACATCAGCAGCCAATTTATAGTTCTCATTACTTAATGTAATTTTCTATCTTATGTCGGCATGCAAGTTACGAATATACTGGGCAAAAGCTTCTGCGGAATTTGAAGGGTGGGAATTAGGAGGTAAAGTTAGTAAGTCAATAGGCTGTCTTGGGGAATGACCATAAACAATCTCAAAAGGAGATGTACCAGTCGACCTATTGACGGAGTTATCATAGGCAAATTCAATAGTAGCTAACAACAAATCTTTATTTTCCATCTTCTCACCCACTAGACACCTGAGCAATCTCCCAAGTTATGATTGACAACCTCAGTTTAACCATCAATTTGGGGATGAAAGGTAGAGGAAAACTTAAGACTAGTCCCAAAGAGCTTCCAAGGTGTCTTTCAAAAATAATTCACAAACGTAACATTCTTATCAGACACAATGGAAATAGGCAATCCATGTAGTCGGACGACCTCTCTAAAGAATAGCTTGGCTGCATGTGAGACATCAATAGATTTAGTGCAAAGAATGAAATGGACCATCTTAGAAAACTGATCCACGACAACTAGAATGGAATCATGACTACGAGCTGTATTAGACAATCCTAAGATAAAGTCCATACTAAGGTCTCTCCATGGTGTGTGTGGAATTGGTAATAGTGTGTACAACCAAATGTTTTCTTTCCTAGCCT